TGCAGCGGTGGAGTACGAAGATGATGGAGCGCTCCCGGAAAAACACAAGCGACGGGGTAGGAAGAAGCAGCGACGCAACACCGGAAATGGATTATCAAGACCGGAAGTTGCTGTCCGGATGTCTTTGGGGTGAACACCAAACGAAAAGCGTACCGTTTGGACTTTGTGGTTTATGAATTTCTGTTCTTAGAGATGATTTAGATGTCCCTAACACATCAGTTGTGGATGTTTCCCGTGATTGCATTTTGATTAAAAGCAATGCTTGACAGGAATGGTTTTCTGTCATTTAAATATTCGATTATACTTTAATATAAGTAAAATTTAGTATCGTTTTTAACCTACCTGGAAATTATGGCGGAAAGAGGTGCCCATATCACTACAGCTGCAGCGGATGCCCGACCTTCGATTTTCGAAGTTCTGGCCCAGGACTCGTTATTGGGTGCTGTCAGACCTGCTGTTCAGCACGCCGTGAAGGTTGTCATTTATCTATGTTGTCTTTTAGCTTTATAAACGTACTGTAGCATGCAAATAATTTCTCTAGCCTGCTCCGCTTATTCAGTGAGGAGACTTAAACACTTTACTTCGACTACAATGGCATGATTCTTTGATTCTTTAGAAACGTAGACTACCGCTATAATAATGTATGTTTTGTTAATGTGAGCTAAAAGAATTGTGTAGGGTTTTTAAAGATGGCATTTTAACACGATATTGACTTGTTAACTGCAGGTTCTGGCAGAGTCCAACCCTTCACGTTACGGACCTTTGTGGCAGTGGTTTGATGAAATCTACGTGTGCCTAGATTTCTTGCTACAGCATCATTTCCTCTGTAAAACCAGCGCTTCTTTTTCGGAGAACTTCTACGGCCTGAAGCGCGTGGTGGCCGCCCACCCCTTGCGCCCAGCGCATGTCGGACTCCGTCGGAAGCAGCACTGGCGCTCCTTACTCCTGCTCGTCCTGGTCCCTTACCTGCGTGCCAAGCTGGAGAAGATTCTGGCCAGACAGAGGGACGAGGATGACTATTCAATACAGCTACCGCAGACGAGATTCCGGCGTATGTACCGGGCCTTCTTGGCTGCCTATCCCTTTGTCAGCACAGCATGGGAAGGCTGGATCTTCTGCCAACAGCTTGCCTACATCTTCGGCCGGACGTGGCACCACTCCCCCCTGGTGTGGCTTGCTGGAGTCAGGCTGGTGCGCCTCACTGCTTATGACGTTCAGAGTATAGATCTAAAGCCTACCACAACACTGGCCTCCAAACAAAGGTGAGAGCCCAAAAAAGTGTCTTGAGACGGCCTACGAAAAGTGTTTTTTTGTTTGCATCTCACCACAACTTCATCAGATCCAAAAGTGTATTAGTATATATGTGTAATATGAAAATCTTCATCTTTAAAAAGTATAAATACTTCATGTGATTGCTATAGCCACCACGGATCATTAATCTGTAACGTTGGATATGTTAGATCTACAAAGGGCAGATACACCATCCTGTCACTCATAAGTAATCGACTGTTTTATCTTCCAGCTTCTCTGTAAAGCTGCAGAAAACGTTTTCGGCAGCTCTGGGCAGTGTAGCTGTTGCCATCTCTACCAGCCTTTCCCTGGGGGTGTTCTTCCTGCAGTTCTTGGAATGGTGGTACTCTTCAGAGAACAACAGCACCATCAAGTCCTTGACATCTCTCCCTACACCATCCCCACCTCTTCACCTTGACCACAGCGAGGAGCAGCCATTCCTGGCCACTAACGTCTGTCCGCTTTGTCGCAAGGTCCGTGCCAACGAGACTGCCTTGGCCACCTCTGGCTACGTATTCTGTTATCGCTGCATATACATCTATGTCAAAGCCCATCAGAGATGCCCCCTCACTGGATACCCAACAGAACTGCAACACCTTATCAAGATCTATTCACCTGAAAGCTAATGTGGGAAAACGTGATTTATGTCATTCAACATCCTTGATTTCCTGTAGCCATTTGTCTGAAGATCATGTCACTCTGATGCATAAATGCTGTTATTGACGTAGCACTGTGGTTTTTTTATTATTAACACATAGTTATACTGAAGTAAAATGTACAGTGAATTGCTTGGTTGGCTGACTCCATGGCTCTAAACAAGGAACACAAGTACAAAAAGAGGATGTTAAACATGTATGGTAACAATGGTCAACAAAGATTTAGTCAGAACAGCTAAGGGAGCGTCTTGTCTGTACTTTATGCCGCTTTCAGAAATGCACTCAGACTTTTGCTGTCACCCATAATTTTTGAGAGACATTTTTAGGCTATATTGACGGTATACAATTTCTTATTAAGAATGCATGAGTATATTAAAGTTTTATTTAGGAAAATTTTAATTTCTGTTTGTGAACATTTTCGAGACTTTACAGAAGGGTGCAAAGTGCTGTATTTCTTTTGTCAGAGCTTGACATTTTCGGACATGTTCAGACCGGACCTTTCTCTTTGATATGGAAGTATGATATCAAGGCAAGTGAACCATTAAGAGATGTTCCTGAAGCCAAGTACAGTGGTACCTTTGAACTCGCACTTATTCCGTTCAGAACTCCGGATCGAATCCTAAAAAGTTTGGGTTCTGATCGAATTTTCCCTATAAGGAATAATGGAAAACCAATTAATTGGTTCCCGGCCCCAAAAAATAACACCTAAATATGTTTTTTTTTAGCATTTAAACACAAAATGAACCGGATAAAACAAGAGCATATACTGTACTAAACATCTAAGGACACTTATCAAAACAGTAATTTGTAAAGTAAGAAAATAAATATATCCAATGTGTAAAGTTAAAAAAAAAACAATGTGTCCTACCCCGATCGTCTGCTCCTTCCGTGTGCCACGCCCCCTTGTTAACCCCGTGTGGAATCCCCGTGTGATCAGCTGTTTCTGGTTGTTGTCATTAGTCCTCTGTATTTAGTCCGCGTTTCAGTTTGTTTCCCCAGTCCGGTCTTTGTATTGTCCGTCTGCGTTTTGCCTGCCTTACCTGTAATTAAACCCTGTGTTCCCCGATACCGTGACGTCTGCGCCTTTGTCTCCATTCCGTCCCCGCTCAGCCTGACAATATTATTAAATTTATTGTTCTATTAATGATAAACCATTAAGAAATTTTTATTTTAAAATGTATTTTATCATATAATTACTGTTACTGTCTATCATTGTCTAAATGTATTTTTACTGTCTAAATATGTATTCAGCTTGTGTAAACATGCAGGATGCTATCACAGCGAATGCGAAGCTGAGATCGAAGTGTTACCCTTTGTTTCCGCTGAGAGACGTGCCTCGTGACTCATTTCCCCTGCGCGTACAAGTTATCTGAGGTCGGCGTTCACGGTTTGACTTCTGAGATTCAGATCGAGTACTAGGTAATTTTTTTCAGAACTGGTTTGTTTGACTTAAGAAATTCGAGTTCTAACGAGTTTGAGAACTGAGGTACCACTGTACAGCAGAAAATCATGGACTTCTACTTTTTTCATGAGTCACTTCCACCATGCACCTATACTGTAAATATACATATAAAGTTTCTAAAAATCCTTGCGTGATATGGAAATTCGGATTTGAATTTAGCACAAAAAAAAATAGATTAGCCCAAAAGGAAAAATTTGTTGACCAGTGTAATAATTGTAAATACCCAAAAAAATAGTAAGAAAGTGGCAGGCAATAGTGCAAAGTGTCAGTCTAACGTACACATGAAGCTGGACATTGTACAGCCTGTGGTGGAATAGCGGTTAGCATTGGGACACTGCCCTCATTGAGGATCTGGGTTGCTGGGGGAGGGGCTCTCAGTCTTTTTGTGCAGTCTAAGCCACAGTGGCATTTTCCCAGTCTCAGCACAAAGGGGCCATTTTCACAGAAGCTGGGATCACTGATGATTCTGCTGGCCCTGCGTTTTATCTGACTCAGCCGACCGCATCATCCTCTGCAGAGCCCCGGGCTCCCGCTGTGTGCTGTTCCCAGCCCAAGCATGGATGGTCCACCTCTATATTCCTACATGTTGTTGCCTCTCCTTTCACCCTGGCAGCTAGACGAGCTCAGATTCCCCATCATCAAGGCATACACCTTATTTAAGATACTGAAACCTGATACCTGCTTGCATACACTTAGTCACTGTTGAGCAGTAGCCTGTTGTGATTTTGCAATCAAAACACAGTCAGGGATGCGCAGTCGTTGTGTACAGTATATGGCTAACATCCATTAATGTTTCTACCAAATAACAAAAAATTGGAAGATTCTGCATCTTGAATACAGGAGACAGTAAGAAGTATTTTATTCATGCGTATGGGAAAATTAGCCTTCATGCCTTTCCAAGAGATACAGAAACACACAGACGAGATCAAGTTTTGGGGTCAAAGGCAAGATGCCACAATCCCCGGAGCCAGTGGTGTTAAGGGCCTCCAAGGGCCCACTGGCAGTGCGACTCTGCAGGCCTCAGCATTCAAACCAAGACCTTCGCCGGGCACAGAGAACCTGCAGATGCTTGTTCGGTCACACCCACCACAAGCTTATAATGGAGATGGCAGACAACTCGATAGTTTAGGGGAAAGCCAACAAGCAAGTGCGGCAATTAAATTCCTGAAATGCCTGTAAAGCAGTGGTGGGGAACCTGTTCCATGGAGTGCCGGTGCGGGTTTTTGGGATAGCCTCTCAAATCAACCAATAATAAAGCAGTAGTTCTCAACTCCAGTCCTGGGGACCCACTGTTATTGGCTGATTGAGAGGCTATCCCAAAAACCTCACACCGGCCCTCCATGGAACAGGTTCCCCACCCCTGCAGTAAAAGGAATAAACTGGGACAAGTGTCAATCACCGAGTGACCCTGGGCATGCATCTAGACAGTCAGTGCAGAAGAATTCGAGTCACATAGAACACTATTCCTGTCCTGCTCCAGCCAAGCAGTTCTGCAGTGCAGGCAGCTCCCATGTTATGAACGACACCCATCGAGTCAAATTTGTAGGTAAGTCAGGACACACACACACACACACACACACACACACACACACACACACACACACACACACACACACACTTCAAGTTGACAAACCACTGAAATCATGCAATGTTTTCATGAGCATCAAAGTACTCCATGCGTTAGTTATCACAAAGCTGCATTTAACCCGAATTTAACATGACTTTATGGTCATCATCCGTTTGGAAGTACAAGTTGTTGCAAGTCGGATGTTCTTAACCCAGGGACTGCCTGTATAAAAAGGCTGGTGTTTAGTCTTGATAGCAAGTCAGCCCATACTGCAGAGGAAACAGGCAGTCATTACAAAGACTGCAGGGCTGTTACAGAATGGAAGTGCAAACTCACCTCCGTCATCGCCTTCCGATTCACAGACTTGGGGCTGAATGGCCAGCTGGCCTGTGCAAGAGCACATCCTGTGAGCAGATGCACCTACAACATGAGAATTAGGAAATTTTGGTCATCTATGCAACGCATATCCAAAGCATTGAGCTCAACTTTGCATGTAGCGCCAAAAATTCAAATTTAAGCAAACAGATGCTAGCTAGACATATTAGGGCACAGATGAGCATGAAATAAAACCAGTGCTTTCATCTGTAGATGTAATGCAAAAGATCAAAGCAGAGCTATTGGCTCATTTGTCACCTCAATTGGGGGGGGGGGGGGTTGCACACAGGTTGTTTCAGGCCTAATGTCAGCATAACTGGGGAAGGGCACAGAGGTCATCCAAAGTCACTTGCTGGGGTCACCTACTCCGGATCCCAGAACTCCAATTCCTATCCAGAACAAAAGCTTTTCAAATTTAGCAAGTCAACTGGCACAGCGATCACATGCAACAGATTAATTTAGGCAGGGTCTCCGGGTGCAGTCCCAGCAGCTCAGAGAGAAGATTAAAAACGAGGTCATACTTTGATCATTGTCCACAATGTGACAATACCAAGTCAGGCAATTCTTCGTCTCATCACAGCTACACGGCTTATGATACAATGTTGATGCGTGGTGGTCAGCGAGTCTTGTCAATTGAACTACTACACTTATTCAAAATGCATTTCATCTGAAGTAGGGAGGAGAGCTAGTTTAAAAGGACAATCACATTCTGAAAGCTGTTAGCAGCTACACACTCAAACATGTGCATGGAAGTGAAGTAATGAGGCAAACAGTGGGAAGAGCGATTCCTCATATGCCAGACAGCCTTAATTACACCGAAGGCTCTTCCTGCAGCAATGCAATATTTCCATAATCAAAGCTTCAGCCTGGGTGTCTTGCAGCAGTTTCCAGAACCCCTTAAAAACCAAGGCCACATATGCCAACGCAAGCTGTGAAATGTTCCAGCAACGACAAGCTCCGTTTCTCAGACTCAGCTTTCCGTCATGCTTTAGGCCAAGCGGCTTTGGCAACAGAGCACCACCAATTAAGCAATGCTATTAAATCTTAACAGTTCAGTCACTTCAGATTCAGCTTCAGCAGGTACACACTGCAGAAGCCAGTCACCGATATGTCTGGAGTAAAGTAGTACAGACTTCGCAAACTAGGGATTAGTCCCAATTTCTGCAAATATCTGAATTCTTGTGTCATACATTCTTAAGGAACCAGAAGCCCTTCTTACCTAGGAAAGACACTGGTGTCATTGGCATGGAGCACAATAGCAAACAACCACATTTACTAGTTACGTTACGTTAAGTTAAGTTAAGTTAAGTTAATCTTCAACACCCCACAAACCACAACTGCCACACAACCAGAAATAATATCATGCAGCCCTGACATCTTATACCCATGGCGCTGTATCAAGTGGCTCATTACTACTAATTACTTAATTAGTTGCATGCATTGAGTACTTATTCCCCTATAGGCCCCTGCCTGCCAGCCATCACAACCCCTGCTCAATTACCCACCTGGTAGTCAGTGCAAATGAGCACCTCTTTAGGGCCAAATTCATACATTGCAATATTTCATTGATATATCACCCAACCTTATGGGAAACTAGAATCCAGTTGCAAAATGTTCTATTTACATGAATTAAGGGATAAAACTGAAACAGTACCTCTATGCATCCCTCCTCCAACCACTTACAAATCACAAACTCCCTGGTGGGCCTGGAGTCTATCAGGCAGCCTAGGGCACAAGGCAGGCGACCATCCTGGATGGGATGCCAGTCTATCACAGGGCACACAAATGAATATGCTCAAGTTATGGCCAATCTAGGAGATACAAATTTGCCAAAATGCATGATTTTAAATTGCAAGAGGAAACCCACACATCACTATGTGATGTGGATAGTTCAGGTCCAGAAAGAAATAATCCAGGCCAAGTTTTTGTTTCAACCAACCAGTTGAGTACTCTGTGACTGTGACTCTTCGTACTCAACTCGTTGGCTGAAATAAAATCTTGGTCTGAATTTTTACTTTCTGGACCTGAACTTTCCATCTCTACCTGCCAACCCTGTAGGTGTGAGGCCAAAGTACCGGCAAATCATTCCATGATTGTTACTCTTTAATAACATTTGGATAACAACTCATACACAGTTCACCGCACAAACATGTGATAACAGACATTTAGACTTTATTGTTAGGATCTGAGAACAGCAGTGCAACGTCTTAATTACAGCATCATGAAAACCCCTTCAAAGCAAGAGGACGTAACATTTAACGCTGAAAGAGCACTTGACCTTTTACCATAAGCATGAGCCAATAAAGCATTCGTTTGGTCAAAGGAACAGCTTTCAGTGCTGTTCCTCTGGTTAGTTGGCACAGGGTAAAACTGCAGCATTTTGGCGCTAACCTTAAAAACTAAATTCAACCTGTAATATTTCCCTTACTACCAAACCTATATACACATCAGCTGGAATGTCTTTTGTAATTTGCTCACTTATACACGACTTGTCTCACTTGAGTGCAAATCACACCAAACTGCCACATTACTACTTCATTTACAGAATATTTGGTATACAATTAGCAATTACGACCTTCATTTTAGTCTCAAAGACACACTCGTGGTAGTTTTACTTACACAAAATCGTTCTGAGAACAGACTGAAAAAACTATTATTTCTGGTTCTCTGAACCAATCAGACTGTAAAAGAGGTGGGTCCAAGCAAGTAGAGGAAGCCAAGACCATCCAATCAGATGTCCTGCTCCTGCCTCCTCTACTTGCTTGGACTCACCTCTACAATCTGATTGGTCATCTCTCTGAACTACTCATTTTTTGTTCTTGCATTTTATTTTTATTCTATTTGTGCAAATAAAATTCCCATGAACCAACGACACACCTACAGCACTTCCTATCTACAGAGGGAAAAAAATGCCCAGACCCTGGTCATTCTTAGGCAAAAAAAAAAAAAAAACCTGCAACATCAATCATGTAAACTCACTCAAACGTAAAAAAGGATTTTGTAAAAAGATGCACTTGTTTGATGCTCAGTAGGCCGCTCTCCGCAAACGGACACGAGATCGTACCCTGATTACGCATTTCTCCTTTTTTTGTGCTTCACAATATAAAAGTACAAATAAATAGTTATGTGATATGAAAATAAAAGCAGGAAGGGACGGGTTATACATATGCTTCTGGTGGATAAGAGCTTACATGTTAGCTTTAGGATGCAAAAACAATGATCCTATACTTTCGATGTGCACATGATTATGAAAGTCGCACTGCGTTACCGTATTTACGTCAACACCGATAAGGTGGTCAAACACCTGAGACAAGAGAGACATCATGGAGACCATTGCTGCGAAAAAATTAATAACAGCACTCATGTGTGAACAGCACTGGAGGGGAAGCATAAATGGGGGAAGCATAAAAATAAAAAATACAGTGACAACCAAAGAAAGCTGCTGCTTGCAAGCTAGACACATATTTGCATACATTAATATAAAAGGTTTTTCCCATGCGTGTCCATGATACAGATATTGTATTATAACACCATTTGAAATGTTGTGTGCAGAAACTCATCATTGTAAACCAAACACGTATCAGGTGGCGCACAGGCCGCTTACGACAGCAGCCTACCCACAATGCACCTGGCTGGCACTCGGAACTCACGCACGAGTGCCACGCTTCACATCATCGCGTATAGCTTAACTCATTTACTCAGCTGGAGTTCAGGAAAACGGACTGTAAGGAGAGGGCGTGGACGAGACCTGCACTGCAACCTAAAGTGAACATAAGTCAGGAGAATGTGGCAGATACAAATGGCTGCATCAGCTCAGGGAAGGTCAAACTTTTTTAAATATTCAGACTCGCACTTAGCCGAACATGAAATAGCCCTTAAAAATTGGTTGTAAACCTTCCTTTGTTGTTAAAGGTTAAAACGGAATCCACGCGCCCCGCGTGAGAAGTCAACGGAAGGTACAACAGACGAGTACACATAATGCTCAGGATGGATAAGGACTGGAGGATTACTTCCCACGCGCGAAGACGTCACCATGCAACATTTATTAGGCTTCGTGAGCAAGACGGGGCTTTGGGGCAGAAGGTGGAGGAAGTTCTGAATGGGTGCGTGCTTCAGACGGCCTGAATCCCCCGCTCCTGGCCGTCCAGCTGCACTTTAATCTTGTGCAGTTCCTCAATCTCCTGGTGGTGGCGCTCCGTCTTGTGGCGCACAAGAGAGCGGTAGAAGTGGATGGTGAAGACCACGAAGATGAAGCCCACGGGGACCATGATGATGGTGGAGGCGAGGGCGGCCTGCCAGCCACTGTGGCCGGGCTGCGAGGGGGCAGGGGTGCTGCAGTTGGCTCTAGTCCCAGAATCCACGGGCAGGAATTTGATCCAGCACAGGAGCACCACCTCGGCCAGGAAGAGGAGGATGCCCAGGGCGGTGGAGAACCCCCAAGCGAGCTCGATGTAGTAATGCATCCGCTCGTGGGGCGACTCGCTGACCGAGTTGAGGTTGTGGATGTTGCTGACCGCCTCCACGTTGGGCAGGATGCAGGTGCTGATCAGCAGAGCGAAGAGGTGCACGGCCACCAGCACCGTGGTGCACACACTGAAGGCGATCAGCAGCAGCCGCGGATAGTTGTACTGCATCTCCAGCTGAACTTCAACCATGGCCACCTAACAGACAACCAACACCTTCAGTTCTGGATCTACCCTGATATAATCAAGAGTTATTAGCTTTATACATTAAATTAACTTGTAAACACAGTGTTGGGTACCTCCTACTTCCTTCCTGAATGCTAAATTTAGGTGTCTGCCATGCATCTCTGCTCTAGGTTTGAAACCCACCATGGCGAAGCCTGAGAGGAGGGCAGAGGTGCGGCTGGAGGCTTTGAGCTTGGCCCGGCTCAGGTAGAGCTTCCTCCAGGAGAGGGCCTGCACAGAGTGGTGGTTCGAGGTGACGAGCTCCAGGTAGCTCCGGCGTACCCAGTCCCGGTAGTCCATCCCCCCCCCCTCCTGCAATCGATCTGAGCCTCCTGGTGCAGGAGAACCCATGGGCACGTTCAGCTCACTGCTCATAACAACTGCGAAGATCAGCGGAAAAGGTTTGGCTGTTAATAAATGTGCATCTACAAACACCAGACATACAACCGCCCCCCCGTGCGAACTTTGGTCAGCTGGCTGGTGTGACATTCTCAATCCAAGACAAGTCTGCACACACATGAACAGGCATTTACATGTATGCGACAGTTTTATTACCTTGTAAATAGTCTGTAGGCTTTGCAAACTACCCCAACGCTTTTGATGTAGCTAATTTTAGGTTTATAATGCAATAATATAAATTTGCCATAAGATTTCTTGCCTGAATTGGCAACCCTGCACCCACACCGTGATAGTACCTCACATTCATTATAAGCAGCTGGAGAACCAGACACAGAATATTACGCAAATTGACGGAGGAACGGATCTTTCATTTACTATACGAACAATGAAAAAGTACAGCTGGTCATGGGGATTAGAGCGAAGCAGCTACTTACTTGGCCGGGTTTCCCCTGGATTCTGCAGGGCTTTCATCAAATACCTAAACGGGAACACAAGATATCAAGTTCCGATTTTTTCCTTATATACTTAGACCTTCTTCCTGAGTAACACGACACCTTTGATTTGTGTTTTGTGACTTGGGGATCACATGCATCGTCATATTAAGGAATTTCTCAAAAACAAGCCGGGTAAAATTACTTTGTGTTAACACGCATTTTGAAACATTTCCTGTCAAAACACGCAAAAACTGAGAAGCGTTTATTCAACGACCAGCATCTACTGATGTACAAAACCCGTATGACCAGCGACATTTTGCACGCAGTATTAAAGTTTTTTAATCGTACTTCTAATGCTGCCAATAACATTTAAAACAAAAACACGGATGTGGTCGGTAGCGAGTTTTTTAAGTTACATCCGGTTGTGTAATTTGAAAGCTACATTTGGAGTAAAATCTAGGGGCTTAATAACTGAAATCCTCGCTTCCCGAAAGCGCGATTTATACGGATTCAGCATCTGCTCAGTGATTTCCCTGAAAATGGTCCCCCACCCTAAGGGTGGACGGGGAAGCCGGGTCCCCCCCAAGCCACACACCGCATCCTTTCGCTTTCCCATAAGCACCGGGATCCATTTTAATAACAGCCTCCCAGCGACCCAACAAGCAGGAGTAGGCTGACTGAATTCTCCGGAGACTTTAGCCGGAAAGGCCGGGAAAACAAATCGTCGTGAAACGCTAGAGGCAGGGAGGGAGGGAGGAAGGGGGGTGCAATGACGCCCGATCTGCGTCGCGCAAATTCTTCTCTTTCTCTTACGGCCACGTCTGTCAAGCAACAATAGAGGTAAACAAGAAAAATAACATGAAATCTTATCAGAATAGATACATAATTAATCATTTATATTATTCGCTACATTATCTAATTGTGATTCTCCATAACGGAACGTTAACCAGTAGAAACACCTAAATTAATTGCAGATCGCGAGTCTCAACTTAATACAGAGACAAAAATATGTCAATAACAATACAGGATCCACTGTTGCGGCCGGCTAGCCACCTCCCTGGCAGTCGGACGGGCGGCTTTTTGCATCTTAAAACACACAGCGGGCACCTGCCTTTACCTTACTGCCCCCGATGGCCGCAGATCCGTCTCATCCACGTCAGCTGCGAGTGAAAGCGGCCCGGAGGAGGGAGATGCTGCGCCCACCGTGAGGCACCGCGCCGCCAATCCAGCGCCGTCGCCCCGCCCCCTTTTCGCCGTCGCCCCTGTCACGTGATGAGGGCGCCGGAAAAGGTGCTTCCCGAGCTGGGGGTTTTCCCTGGAATGACCGGTAATGCGAGACCCGATTTGGGTCATGTGTTGCCGTCGGTGCCAGCCTGCCTCATCAAGCTGTATAATACGCTGCAATTCGGTGATAGTGATTGCTAGAAGCATTAAAATCCATCAATCTAAAACTGCGACAGACCACAGATTCTGAAGCTGAATGTGTTTAATGATAAATTTAAGTGCGATGTTAGGCAAAATGGTTTTGATGTGGAATGTCACCGTTCAAAATATATCTTAATAGCACGTCCTCTAGCTTCTGGCCGTAAAGACCAGGCCAACGGGGAAACCCTCCCGAACTATAAGCAGCTGTGTTTGATCAATTTAAATTTCCATTCTATTCCCAAAACGGCGTTTATATGATTGGTTTTGAAACTGATGACAATTATACTGTGAATGACTACAAAGTTCACATTTGCTTGCATCATGAATTTAATAATGCCCAAGAAACTATACAGTTGAAACCTATGGAGAACAGTCAACAATTCAAATCTCTGCAAAACAAAAATTACTTCATAAAATCTGATTATTTGGGATATGTTAGTCTTCATTGACGATGAAAAATGTGCAAAACTTTAAATTACATACGCATTCAAATAACACTTCTCAAATTTTGTTTTACAATAAAATTGAACGTCATTTTACGTTTCACCAGTTTTCTCCGATTCTGTGCCACAAGAGGGCGCACTTGGCCAATATAGAAATAGTGGCTCGACGACAGGCAAAGTTAACCGACTGGAGCGCGATCTCAAGATACATTGCTTTTTCTCAGCCTTAGACTACATCAAAAAATAGAAAATAATAATGGATGCTGCGTTTATGCTTCTCAGATGACCTTATATTAACTTAGTATCCAACAGGACAAGTGAACTACTGTTTTTGAAGAAACAAATGACCATCAACGGAATGTAAGCCGCAGAAGTGTCGCTAACGTTTTGAATGACCGAAGAGAAGCAATGTCCCACTCCAACAACTTATCAGGCAAGATTAACGAACACGTGTATAAACAATACATAGCATTGTCAAATAGCGGTGTTAGCAGTAAAAATGCATTTTCAGTGTGGTCAAAAAAAAAACCAAAAATTAAACAATACATATAAAGTCATTGGCTTTACAAGGTAACCAGTATCACAAACTGCATGAAGTTCAGAAAGTAAAGACCAAAAGCTACATGAGTGAAATGAGCCAATGTCGAGTATTTATGCATAATAGACTGTCCAAATTTTTACTTAAATCGTCCACACTGAAAACCAGCTAAATACACGTCTACCCTTTATCAGCAAACGTTGTCGAGATGAAAGTTCGACTGAGTTGATCCTCACGGTGTTGCTTGTTAGCGTCTAATACACAGGCAAGAGTTAAATGACCACCAAAGTCCTTCGGCAATGCATCTCCAACACAAATTACAAGATCAGGTCAGTACATCCGGGACGATTCTCCACGACAGCTGTCATGCTGGCCTCTTTCCATACTTGTGGGAACATGGCAAGAGGCGGGTCTGAAGGAAACTCGTCTCCTTAGCTTTTTCTGCACGTGTCGGCCCTTTATAGATGATGGGCGAGGTCACAATCACCAGCAGACCATCTGAACCAACTTCCTGAAGGCTGAAGGTTTCCTCAACAACGGTCGTTACGCAGACCTTTCCGATGAGCCATCAACTATTGAACAGTATCTGAATTCAGCCTCGCAAAGACACAGTCGTACAAATAATCAAAGAGAGTAGTCATCCCAGCAGCTCAAGTCTACTGGCAGCGGCTGCCACAGTGGGGCACTGGTCCCCAAGGTGGCTGGGGGCGGGGAGAAGGTTAATGGGAGACACTGCCACCCTTCAGTAGTCTCTCCATGGCAGGTTTGGGGTCAGACACGGAAGCTCTCCCCCTTGCCGTCAATGTGGCGCAGACGCAGGTAGACATCGGTGCCGATGCCCTGCATCGACTGAATGGACAGGGAACCGCCAAGGTACTCCGCGTATGCCCTGGAGGTGGGCAGACCGAAGCCAAATCTGGGGGGAGGGGGCAAGGTGGGGGAGGGGTAGAGAGGAACAGGGTCTGAAACTTTGACACTAAAGGGAATCCCTTAGAAAGACCACAATGGCAAAGATCCAGAACTAGAATCTGGATCTGACTCTTCAGAACAAATAGGTATTTCAATCATTTATAATGAAAGAAAAGAAAAACTGCATAATCAATGGAACAAATTTCAGGAGCACGGACCCATTGTCTCATTTTAAAAACCTGCATGTGAACCCAGGGAGCAAAATATGATGGCAGAATCCGGTCCTCTTAGGCCCCAGACAGTCCACGTTTTTGCTCCCTCCCAGTTCCCTAAAAACGTGGACTGACTGGGTGTCCCCAGGGACCGGATTGGGAAACACTGTCCTAATAGCAGACATGCAGTGGGGTTATGGGGGTGCACTCCCATGGCCAGAGGGGGCGGGCCCTTACCCATGCATGGGGCCAGACTGGGGCCCGCTGTTGGTGATGTTGTTGAAGAGGTTGCTCATGCGTGGGTCCTGGGCACTCTCCTCGGCCGTGCTGAAGTGGTAGTCCATGACCTTGTCCAGGATCCTGTGAGGGATTCCTCCTCCGCGGTCTGAGATTCTGCAGCAGGACGGCACACGGCTGAGGCACACGGCAGCAGTTTCAAACTGCGCTTCGTATTAGATACCCTTCACTTTAAGATGCCAAACAACAGTGTTAGGAAATTGAAAGCTACAATTCTACTGCAATAAGCCTATTGATACGAGTTTGGTCAGAGCTATTTACTGACCTCAGTGATGACAACAAGAAACAAAGAACGCTCAGCATTTTAATTTCGTTCTATGCTTCATATTCAGTTAACATCAAAAACCAGAGCTTGGATTCCAGCTATAACAGACACTGCACCACCTCAGCCGTACATCCGACCCGTTCGAAAATGAACCCGCTGGCAGAGCAGGCTGGCTGCTGTGAGCAGGACAGTAAACATGTGCCTGTCAATATGTTCCTTCCCTCATACAGCTATTAGAGAGTTTAACACACAAAGAAGGGAGTTGTCTGCGATGTGAAGATTAAATGAAGCGTGCAGATTCGTTACGAGCCATTTGCTGCTTAAAAAATTAACACATTTGACCTCTCAAAAATGGCTGTCCCCCCCCCCCCCCACAGGTAAATATTATGATTATTAAAACACATTCAGTAACTCAATAAGCAAAGTCCTAGTGAGGAACTATCGAAGGGTTTATTGAAGAGGCCCTGCTACTAGTTAATGACGCTGGTGGCGATTGACGACTGCGCTTTACCGCAGGAAGTGAGCGTGAATGACATAATTGGCAGCCGAGCAGCAAAGCACAAGAAAACATCGTTCCACGTGAATGCGGCCGAGTGCGTCCAGGAAAGGTCGCCACGACGCTAACGTGCGCGGTAAACAAAAGGGTGACGCAAAGAGGCACTTAGCGGGGCTAACCGTTTTAGAAACAACAGTCAGGTGCCCTGTGGCACTCCTGCATGATCTTCCTATTCCACACACACCCCCGGGGTTGCTGGCATTTCTGTTAGGGGGAGGGGGGGGGGCTGGCAGCTACCTCTTGACATGTGGTCATCACTCCAGCAAACTAGATTTATGCCGCGGTCAGAGTTTACATTCCTGTAGCTCAACAAGTACAGCAGGGTGCTAACAATCCAAAGGTTGTGGGTTCAAATCCCAGCGAGCACACATTAAATTCTAACCCTTCCCTGGACTGCAAGTCTACTGATGTCAGACAAATGTAAACATACACCCGCGAAAGGTCAAGAATGAGCAGGGGACGGCTGTTAGAGGATGAGGGGGGAAGCGCGTGGCTCACCTGATGACGAAGTCGGTATCGTTGTTGGCGATGGTAACCACTACGTCAGGCACGTTGTAGGGTGTGTCCAGGTGGCTTTCCATGGTGGCCCTGAGCAATGGGGAAAACAAATGAAATCATGCTTTATGTCATTTGTAAATCGAAGAAGCAGGAATGACAGCATCTGGCTGTAGTCATGCCATCTTGATACACCCAGCATACTCTCCTATGAGAATGAAGCCAAGGTCAGCGTCAGCCGTTCATCTGGTGCCACGGAGCATTTTTTCAGGAGTTAACGGCACTCAGAGTCATAACCGCACATTGCATGCGAAACATCTTGTGCGCCAATATGTATGGATGTATGCTGTCTATATTGCATCCGTGTCAACATTTAACATTGCACTACTTAAACTTGAACAAACCATCATATCTATCACATGACATTCCTACGTTTCACCCTCTCTGTCGTGTATCTAGTCTCTTGCATTTATTCTGTCTGTAACTGTCAATCGTCTATTGTCATGTCTCTACCAGTAGCGAGCTGCCAAAAAAAATTAAATATAAAATTTTCACCGGTCATGTAGTAATAAAGATTCGGACGACTCTGAACGTGTGTCTCTGTGAACAACTCAGTCCCACTGGGCCATTCAGAAAATCCCATGATGCATAGAGCTAAACCCAGGCCTGGATACAACACCGTTTAAGCGCTTTGATCACAGTGATGGTAAATGCATGATTATACTGGTAAATGTGTAATCAAGTGAGTAAAACGGCGGGGGTCACGTACAGCAGCTGACTGGCCTTAGCTCACAGCTGCCCCCCTGAACTTTTGGCAGACGTGGCAGGAGACTGAGGCATTGAAGCGCACAGATATTTGTCCTTGACGCTTACAGTGGTGCTGCTGGTGGGGGGGGGGATGGGGCGGTGGTATGCTTTCAAAGTCCACCCCCACTCTCGCAGGGTTAGGTTGAGGCGAGCACAGGACC